CCCAGAATTCATGTTCTTAAACGCAATGTCAGACTGCCCTCAGAGGCGTGAAAATTAGAGTGAAGTCTACTCTGTCAGTACTCTTAGAGCAAGGTCTTCAAACCCAGCTGCACACACAACCCCAGGTAAGTAATGTTAACAAGTGAAGCAGGACTTGTGGGAAACGGGTCACTTGAGAGTCCACACCACCGAGCAGTGGGTGGGGGAGGGGGGAACAGTCCTTCTCAGCTCCACCTAGTTATGGCCATCTGGAAATCCAAACCTTGCAATATTTAAATAGAAGCAAGAAAGATCTGGATTTTTATGAAAGAGCTCTTCAATTCAAAAGAAAAAGAAAGGGAAGGGAAGAGGAAAAGGAAAGGGAAAGGGTTCAATCATTGTGGAAAACAGTGTGGCGATGCCTCAGAGACCTAGAAACAGAACTACCATTCAACCCAGCAATCCCCTTATTGGGTATATACCAAAGGAATAGAAATCATTCTGTCATAAATACACATGCATGTATATGTTCATCACAGCACTATTCACAATAGCAAAGACAGGAATCAACCTAAATGCCCAATAATGATAGACTGGATAAAGAAAATGTGATACACATACACCATGGAATACTATGCAGCCATAAAAACAGAATGAGTTCATGTCCTTTGCAGGAAGATGGATGGAGCTGGAGGCCATTATCCTTAGCAAACTAATGCAGGAACGGAAAATCAAATACTGCATGTCCTCTTTCAAGTGGGGGCTAAATGGTGAGAACACATGGACACACAGAGGAGAATAATCAACACTGGGGCCTATCAGAGGGTGAAGGATGGGAGGCGGAGAGGCTGAGAAAAAACTAATGGGTACTAGGCTTAATACCTGGGTGATGAAATAATCCGTGCAGCGAACCCCTGTGGCAGGAGTTTACCTATATAACAAACCTACACATTTACCCCTGAACCTAAAAAAAAGTTTAAAAAAAGAGAAAGGGGGAGAAGAAAGGGACAGGAAAGGGGAAAGGAAAGAGGAAGAGAGAGAAGAAGGAAAACCATGCAGGACATACACTAGACACACACACACACACACACACACACACACACACACACACACACAGAGTAATGCAATCACACCCTTCTGTAGACGGTAGAAGGGACTCAAATTCAGTCTGGGGACCACCCGTTTGCACTTCATTTTTAGTGCAAGTTATTAAATTTTATCCTAATGGACTCTGGTTGATGATAAAGACACATACTCCCCACTCTAAACCAACAAGTAGTTATACTTTTTAAATATCCGATTTGTCTGACCTACTGGAACCTATAGATTTCTGCCATTTAGGGAGGGAGGGAAGGAGTGTTGGTTCAAAGCCTGGGTGAATCTTCTGGGCTCAGGGAGATGCAGTGACAACTCCATTAGCAGACAGGTTGGAGAGTAGTGTTGATTTGTTATCTATGCATAAATCCAGAGATTTCAAGTGCTAGGTGTTAGCCAAGCAATGTGGTGGTTTTTCTTCTTAATCTTCAATTGATGGACAATTAAACCTCTATCAGCAAAGCAAATGAAACAGAACACCCTTTCAAAGTTAAACTAACAGCTGTGTGTTGGAAATAAAAGTAAATTCAATGGACTTCTGAGAGTTTTATGAAGTCATCTTCATCTAAATCTTTTAACTTTCATTTGCCGAACTTTGAGCTGTTCATATTTTATAGTCCTCTTTGGCAAACTAGCTTCCTTGGCGCCAGCCTGACAACACAGGAGATATTCTGTGTTCCTGTCTTTATGAGACCTTCCAACTTTTCATAGCAGGTGCCCAGCATTCTTGGTTTTAATCATCTAAACCTGGATTACAGATAAGTAAAGTTTAATAAGTAAGATAACAACATTTTCTCACTTTCAAAAGCACTCTTTAACACTGTGTTTTTATTAACCTTTCATGCCACGGATTAAATTTTCCTGTAAGTTTGACATTTGACAGAGCTGCAATAATGCCCATTTTGGAGAGTAACAGGATCAATTAACAAGTTTTTATGCACAAGACCCTACACTGTGTCCTGTGGAGTCAATGGAAAAGAATCAACAGGTTTCTTTCTTTTCCTTCTGGGGCTTGAAGTGTTTTTGGAGAAATGAGGCATTTATGTAAGTAACAATGGTGCAAAAACAGTGCCTGAAAAGAATAATACAAAGGACACAGATGACCAACCAACCTGTAGGAGTTTGTTTTTAAAAAAAAAAAAAAAAAAAGAGAGAGAGAGACGTCATGACTTGAAGGCTTTAAAGGGCTCTAGAAAAGAAAAAAAATGAGATTGAAGTGCGGCCTTGGAGAATGGGTAGTCTTTTTGAGGATGAGGAGGGCAGACAGTGGGAGGAAAAGTATAATAAATACAAATGCAAAAGAGAGCGAAAGACTATCTGGGGCAGAGCAAGTGATTTTGCAACAGAATACTGGCATAAGCAAGAAATAGAATAGAAACCTAGAGAAATGGTTTGAACAGAAAGCAGTTCAGACCAGGGATGGGAAAATATTAAACTCATTGATATAAAGAATGAAGTTAGAAGGAAGAGCTTGTTTAGAGGAGAAAATACATTTTATTTATTGTTAGATTTTATGTAATAGTAAGTTAGCTGGATTACATTGAACTAAAAGATAAAACTGCATTTTCAAAACCTGAGCCCAGCTGGATTTGATTTTGCCTTATTTTGACACTTCATAGCCTGAGTGAAGATTGAACAGTTTGATATATTGTTCATTATGTACAAAGAAGTGGAATCCTTGAATTTTGGAGCTGGAAGGATCCTTAGAAATTATTTAATTGATTTTGCCAATGAGTTAATTTGGGGTTCAGAAAGATTAAGTGATTAGCCTAAGGTAACATGGCTTATTAATGATAAATATTAAAACACAGTCATCCACTAATTTCAGATCCATTGCTTTATCCACATGACCTAGTGTCTAGTTATCCTTTCTAAAAAATGCATATAGGCCAGGTGCATGGGCTTACACCTTTAATCCTAGCACTTTCAGAAACTGAGGCAGGAGGATGATTTGGGTCCAGGAGTTCAAGACTAGCCTGGGCAACATAGAGACACCCTGTCTCTACAAAAAGTAAAAATAAAAATTAGCTGAGCATGGTGGCATGCACCTGTAGTCCCAGCTACTTGGGAGGCTGGGGTGGGAAGATAGCTTGAGCCTGGGAGGTGGAGGCTGCAGTGAGCCATGATTGCATTCCTAAACTCCAGCCTAGGTGACAGAGCAAGACTCTGCCTCAAAAGAAAAAAAAAATATTTATACATAAACACACACATACAATTTTACATAATCATATGCCCCAAATAATATCAGATTTTTTAGATTCAACATTTCTCCACCTTTGGGTACTTTCATCTCCCCTTCTGTCCCCAACTTATCACTCTCCCTGTATTTAACACCTAATATGTCTCATGCCAAATGATTTTAGAATTTGTGTAATCATATACAAACATATCTGTGTGTGTGTGCATGTCTGTGTGGATACATATGTAGTGTTTTACGTCATTGTTTTACAAAAATGAAAATGCATATGCTGTTTTCTGAACCTTTTCTCATTCAGTCATATATTGAGGAAATCTCTTCCATGTGAAAAGTTATAGCCAAATTATTTACTTTACCGGTTGCATAACATTCTGTAGTTGAAATATGTCATGAGTTATCCTATCATTCTCCCTGTTTATAAAGACCAGTCTGTTTTTCTTCTACGAATAGTACTTCAGGAAACATCCCCGTATTCATATATGCTGGTGTTTTTATTTCTGTTGATAGAGTTGGTATCACTGGGTCAAGGAAATGTGTACTTTTCATTTTAAAAATTAAACTGCCTCCATAAGAAAGCTGTAACTATACATATTTATTTGCACCTACAGTTAATGAAAATACTTTTGCTAGGTCTCCGTAGGCCTTACTATTGGAACTCTATTTTGTTTAAGTTTTGCAGACGCAATTGGTGTGAAGTAAAATTGTATTGCTACTTGATTTGCATTATTTGACTACAAATGAATTTGATCGTCTTTCGATAAGCTTGATGGTTATTTGAATTTCATACCTTGTAAACTATGTTTTTATATTCATAATCCATTTTTTTCAATGGGTTATTTAGTCGCCTTGTAAATATTTAAGAGCTTCTGCTATATTGTAGGTATTTTTGCCTGTCCTATAGGGTTATACACTTTTTATTTCCCCCAAATGTCTTGTATTTTTTATGGCGTCTTTGGTCATGCCACAAAATTCCGGTTTCAGATTGTAGTCACCTATGTTTATGTTTTCTCTTACAGTATGTTTGCCTTCTCAGAAAAAGCCTAGCTCACCTGTCCCTAGATTACATTTATGATTCCTAGGTTTTCTTATATGATGTTATTTACTTATTTCCTATTTTAACCTTTAATCCACCTATCTCCACCTAGGATTTATTTTTGGAATTGGTAAATATTAAGATCTACTTTTCTTTTCTTCCAGATGAATAAAGTTTGCCAATTCCTTCTATGAAAAAACTCAGCTTTTCACCACCAAATTGCAATGCCTCTTTTGTCATAGATTAATGACAAAATTACCATTTATATTTGGATCTATCCCTAGATTTCCTATTTCACATATCTGTTTATGCCTGTTTCAATGCGTACGTATTGATTTAATGAGAGTGACTTTACAGGATTTTCTGACATCTGCTACATCAAATTACACCAATAACTTTTGAGGTAGTTAGCAAACTTAGGTAGATACATGAGAAACCTATTTGCTAGACATTAGTAGGATGCAAGTAGAAACTAATATGTCAAAATAATATTTTTATAATTATAATTGTTTTCAAAATCTTTTTTCCCAAGTCCATTTTTATTTATTTTTCGTTCTCTCCACCAAGGTCTATTTTTATATCAGCAGATATGGGAAGAGAAGTTTTTAATATGCTCTTATAAAAATGACAGTTTGGTATTTTTTTCAATCTTTAAGTGACGTACTGTATTAATGATGCTGTTTCCTTGATTCACAGACTGGTTCTTCAGAGGAATAAACCTTGACTGTGTCAATACTCAGCTCTGACTGCATCACTACTCCCCCACCAGTGGGAACACTACCCAAGAGAGAGCTCTGGAGTGCTCCTGAAGAGAAATTCCATGGGGACTGTACCTGACCCTCTGAGATCAGCTAAAACTTCCTTGATTGCAGCTTCTGGAAAAGAAGCTGCCTCACCTCAGCATCCACCAGCTCTCCTGTGTAAGAATGCCAATGGCTTTTCTGGTACCCCTGCAGAAGCAGACCTCAGCCCCGGGGCAGCTTCTGAAGCCCTGATGCAGGCTTGTGAGCATGAGACCACTCAGCCAGATATGTCTTCTCCTGGTGTCTTCAATGAAGTGGAGAAAGCTTCTGCCACATTCAACTCTCCAGGCAATCCCCAGCTGCCAGAGAGCAACCAGCCTGCAGCACCAGCTGCGACTTCTGCAGCAGAAAGGGATCTTATACACACACCAATGACAATGCCAGCCAATCAGCACACCCGCCAGTTCATCCCAGGTGATCAGCCCAATGCCGTCACCTCAGCCACGCCTGAAGATTCCCTGATGAGATCACAGAGAACCTCAAATAGAGAGCAATCTGAGAAACCAAGTTGTCCTGTGGGAGACATCCTCAGTAGCAGCAAAGATCAGGGGTCCTGTGAATTACCTTCTCCAGAAGCAATCCAGGAAGCAGTGCAGACTCCAGTGACAGCAGGCAGGGTGGTCAGTCATTCATCCTCTCCTGCAGGCGGACCTGAACGGGAAAGGCAGGGAGCCATCTTTGACTCTGAAATGAGATCCTGTAAACCTCTAACTAGAGAATCTGGATGTTCAGAGAAAAAGCAGCCCTCTGTCACTGCCTCAGGCCCCCAGGGCACAACTTCAGTGACACCTCAACCATCCCCTGTCACTAGCAAACCTTCGGCATGCCCTCCAGGTCCAGTGAAGGTGCTGCTCCCAGCACAGCATCAGATGTCAAGGTTCAAAGAAGCCAGTACGATGACCAACCAAGCTGAAAGTGAGAAGAAGGGAGTTCCCAGCAGGGCTTGGCAAGATGCGGGGGTGCAGGCAAGTGTGGAGAGCAGATCCGTCTCCACCAGCCCCAGTATCCTCCCTGCATTCCTGAAGGAAAGCCCTGCTCCTGAGCATTTTGAACAACAGCAGCTGCGTGTCATTTGTCACAGCAGTGGGAGCCACACACTGGAGCTCTCTGATAGCATGCTAGCCCCCCAGGAGTCCCGTCAGTGCCCTGCCATCATGCCACAGGTACACATTCAGGCAGCTGCAACTGTCTCTACAGCTTTCCAACAGGAAAATAAACTAGTGAGCCTACCAGATGAGGTCCTTAAAACCTCATCAATCAGTTTGGCCTCCAGTAATGCCCAGGATACGTTTAAAGAAGATGGGAGGTTAACAGGAATGAGTCCACTGAAGGAAGAATCAACTTCTAAAAAGCTTGCGGGTACTAATTCTAGCTCCCTGAAATCTAGCCCCATTGACCAGATTTCTATCAGTGCATCCAGTCAAGCTGAAACAGGTTATGGATTGGGAAAATTTGAAACCAGGCCGTCTGAGTTTGCAGAGAAAACCACAAATGGCCACAAAACAGAGTCCGATTGCAAACTATCTGACTCTTGCGGCTCTACCGGCAAAGCTGACCATTCTGGGAGCTTGGATCCCACGAATAAAGGAGGTGCAAGGGAAAAGAAGCCTGCATCTCCTCAGCCAGTAAAAGAAAAAGAGTCCACTGGCACCGAAACCTCCGACGCCAAAACCCGACTGCTCAATCCTAAATCTCAAGAAAGCGGAGGCACAGAATCAGCTGCTAATCCTACACCCTCTCCAATTAGGAACAGCCAGGAGAGCTCCTTAGACGAAGACAGACAGACCAAGACAGCCACAAGCCTGAGCCTGCCGTCTGATCCCATGAGTGACTCCAGTCCAGGTTCCAGCAAGAAGACGCCATCTCGCTCGGTCAAAGCCAGCCCACGCAGGCCCAGCCGCGTCAGCGAGTTCCTCAAGGAGCAGAAGCTAAATGTGACAGCAGCTGCTGCTCAGGTAGGACTCACTTCGGGAGAGAAGAAGAAGCAGCTTGGCGCAGACTCCAAGCTCCAGCTGAAACAGTCCAAGGGTGTCAGGGACGTGGTGTGGGATGAGCAGGGAATGACCTGGGAAGTGTACGGTGCTTCCTTGGACGCAGAGTCCCTGGGAATCGCAATCCAGAACCATTTACAGAGACAAATCAGGGAACATGAGAAATCAATCAAAACTCAAAATAGCCAGACCCGGAGATCCATCTCCTCAGATACTTCTTCAAATAAGAAGCTCAAAGGAAGGCAGCACAGTGTTTTCCAGTCCATGCTGCAGAACTTCCGACGCCCCAACTGCTGCGTCCGTCCTGCCCCTTCTTCTGTGTTAGATTGAAAGGAAATATTTATGGAAGTTTTTGTATAAATTTATGGTATTCACAGGTGTCCCTCTGTGTCAAAGCTTGCTTAGCTTTTTATTTTTTTATTTTTTTTTATTTTTTTCCTGCAAGTCCAGGAAGGAAATGCAAGTATTCACTCTAAGAAATTGCTATTAAAAATTGACCTAGAGCTCTATAAACAAAAATGTCATTTCAATTTCAAAGAAGGAACAAGAGAATAGAAACAAGCTTCACTGAAGGTTTGCAATCTTAATTGAAAATAATACTCACTGGGTTTTTAAAAATATGATGTTGCTCGTAGAGAGAGCATTATAATTATATTATTATACATGTATCATTTTGTATTACTGCCTCAGTTTATCACACAATAGTATTTCCATTAAAATCCCTGCTTCATATTGGAAGTAGCAAAAACACTATTGCCAAAAAATATTGTTATAATTTCTAGTCTTATTGCAATAACAATGCTGAAACCACACAAATTTTAAATAGGTGATAAGAATCATAATTTAAAAAATGAGAAAAAATTTGATTCATTCCTAGGCCAGATAACATTAAATATACCAACTGTGATTTAATATTTGGAAACATCTGCAGACAACCTTTGTATAAACCTCCTTACAGCTGTTAATAAATATAAGAAAGTTACATTAGGAATATTAGCTAAGCTTTTGAATGTGAAAACTGCCTACATTAAACATGGATTTCTATAGACACATTTTCCTGCACTGAAGGCAAGGTGCATCTTTGTGATTCTGACCAGACATATTCATATTTTCTTGCCCTAGAGGAAGTACATGGGACTGAATTATTGAAAGAGTCATCAAACTAGGGATAATACTAATTGATATTGTACAAGTGTTCTCCAGTGATACCCTACTGAGGATGCTAAGATTCTGGTAAGGAACTATAAATAGCAGATTACCAAACACTGCTTTTTCTGTGATGATAAAAACCTCATAAGTAACAAAAACAATGTTTAATTTAGACTTCTGTAAACAGGATGCAATTTGTGATTATTTTTAATTGGGTGCAGTAACTTCCAATAACAAATGTAGTCAACACCAAATTAGAACGTGAGCTCGTTTTCAATGTTTTTTGTACATAGACTATCATCTAATTGCTTAAGTGTATACTCTTGAGTAAACAGGTAACTTCAGCAAACTTATTGATTTTAAAAGAAATACCCTTCATATTCTTCAAACCCAATGAAAGAAGAGGCCTTTACAAAAACATGGCTTGTGCTTTGGGTGAAATATGCTCCTTAGGAACATAGGCACCTGTCTGACCTCAGACCTCACGTGTCTCCGGAAGAGAAGCATGTTCCAAGACACACAAGTATCCTCCAAGGCACTGGCCTGGATGGGCAGCAGTGGCTTGAGGGCGGTAGTGTGGAAAGAATGAACGAACAATGGCCCTGGGAAGGCTTCCCTTCCTGCAGACGTTGTCGGGAGAGTGCTGGTCTCCATTTGGCATTTAAAAAACCAGACTTAGATGCTGGAGGGGCACCAATTGCCTTCTCTGAACTCATTCCCCATGATGAGCTAGAAAAGAGTACCTAACCATGAGTATTCTCTCCAGAGACTCATGTGTCCCGTGGGTACAGTCAATTCACAGTATCTGTTCTGGCTTTTTTCACTTTAATTCTGTTTTGCACAGTCTGAACATATGCAGGGAAAAAAAAATCATTCCTGAACTTGAACAGCACAAGCTACACCCGGCACAACCTAAATTAATAAAAAGACTTGGATTTATTTCGAAGCAATTTAATTGTAGACAAAGCTTGCATTTGTGAACCAGTATTCTCTGAGCCTGAGAGTCATTATAGTTGTTCTATTTGGAACTTAGGAGGAATTTTTTAATAAGGCACATTTTTCAGCTTCTTACTCATTGGTATCTATTGAGGATACTATGTAATGTCAAAATTGCCATCAAATTACCAAGAAAATTACTATTAATGATTAGAGATTTAGCCTAAATTCTCTGCTTGGCCTTAAATACCCATTTGTCGCCGTGTTTGTGTCACTTCTGTCTCAGATGCCTCTGCCAGAACATGACCTCTCTGCTGGCTTCCGCTCACTGGCGTCTCCCTCCCACATGGGCATACATGCTGTGTATACACAGAGTACAGCCTGTGTACACAGTAGCAGCTGTCAACAGTGCCTACTCCAGATGGGTGGGCCCCAGGTAATCCTCTGCTGTGAAGTGGCTAGAACAGGCTGTCCCTGCATTAAAATAGGCAAGAAAAGGGAATTTCGCATCTGGTAATAATATTTATTTTCACAACTTTAGAGTAAGCGCATGATTTGTAAACAGTTAAATGAGGCAGAGGCCTGAGGGAGTTGTAGATATTTGTCTCACATTAAATATATCAGAATTGCTAGATTTGCTGTTGTGGTTATGCCACTCAAAACTTTAAGAAAATTTGTTTAATGCAGTAAGTTTAACTGGTTTTCTTTGGTGCTAGAACCAAATTCTTTACTTCTACAACACTCAAAAGATTATCACAAAATATTACAAAAATATTGTTTTTGTTGCTCATTAAATCCTATAGAACTAACAGCTTTTAAGGACAATGACAGAAATATATCTTCAGATGGATAAATAAGATAGGGACCTATTCAAGACAGCAGCATTTTTATATTGTGATACCTACCCTAAGTTACTCTCACAATAAAACCTTATTTAAGAATTTTCCTTCACATCAATCTGTGACATAGCATTAGGTGTTTAGTATTCCTTACTTGTGAAACCTAAGCTTCATTCAAAAATTAAGTTGCAAAACAGTTTTTATTGCAGACTCTTTGAACTTTTCAGTTTTTTTCCATACTTTACCTACATGACACACATTGGGTTGAAAGTTATTTGGTTTTACCCTTCATTTCTTTTAGGCATAATTTGGTTCTTTTCATGCATTTTAGTTTTGAAATATAGAGAGGAAATATTTTATTAAATCAAGAAATAAGAAACATTCCTTAAACCAGTAGTAAAAAGATGAACTCCATGCCTGAAAGACAGTTCAACATTTAAAATATTAAGATGCTATACCATTTAACAAGTGAATACTAAAAATTTTTAATTTAAAGATTGATGGATTGTTATATTTTTATGATCATGAGAAAAATGTCACAGCTTCAGCTGTCATGTTTATCTTGAACGCTTTTCTAATTATGTCTTTCTGGATTATTGACTTTGAATACCACAGACCAACTGCTTTACATAGAGTAAAATACTTATTAACCTTTGTGCTTTGGGTCAGTGGCAAAAGTTGAACACCCCGTTAAGTCAAGGTTAACCAGAAACCTTTTTATTTGCGTCTGAAATGAAATATTTATAAAATGTGTTAGTATGTTTCCTACCTTGATAAGTTCACCTATATTGAATGTAATTTGATCTTTGATAATTTTTTTAATCTTGAGAATTCTCTGATACTGTTTTGAATATCAGTGTTCATCATGTTATAAGGTTAAACATCAAAACTGAAATAAATTGGACTGAATATGCATGTGTAACATATACCTTAGAAGCTGGATTTCAGAACCAAATTAATAGGAGCTTGCTGTCTTAAAGTAGAAAGCAGAAGAGTAAAATAGCATTCGTTTCGTATTCCAGCATATTGAGGTTTCGTTGTTCCTAGCTTATACTAATGTTTTTTCCTCTAGTTTTTGGGAATGCCTGTCATTCTGGGAATCCCTGTATATATCATACCAAGAACAGAGTATGATGTGACTTTAAAATGTGTTTACAGAGGATATATGCAAGTGTGCTGTTAATATAAATTGTTTGGCCTTTGCTGCATCGACTTTGTTGCTGTTTTGCTGCCGAAATGTGAGAAATGTGGGTCTTCTCTTCCTCCTACGTATTGTGCCAAATGTTTAAAATTTTGTCTACTTCTAGTAACACATAATTCGCCATATCCCTTGTCCACTTTTATGAATCAGTATAAGGAAAAACAATACATTAGGATAGGTTTGCATATATGTATATGTGTTTTTATTGAAAACTGGGGACTTGTATCCTTGTGTAGACCTCTACCTGCCTGATTTACTAATTATCTGTAATGCTGTCATGGAGATGATGCTGTTTACTCTCTCCTGTTTTGTTCTAAGTGGTGTTTGAGAAATATGGCCTGTGAATTTCCCTTTGTCGTAGAACAGTGAACTCAGCAGTATCTTGGATAAGTGAGCTGACTACCTTGTCCCCACACCGTTTTTGTCTATATGGTGAATTCAGAAGTCAATGGTCCCCTTCTGTGTTTGTTATTTTACATGTGTATCTGAGCATTTTGTTTTCTGTTAGCAATGCTTCTTGATGTTGTGATTGGCCCTTTGTGGTTGATTCTCTCCAAATTTGGGTCAGCTGTTGCCACCTGTCAAATAACAGGCAATATGCTGAATCTACTGTCCATCCTTGTAACGATATCCTTCTTAATGAAATTCTTCAACTGGCTGAGTAATTGCTAATGTCATCTGTGCAGACACATGGGCTTAAGGATGTCTACAATATTTTAGACATTTTTGCAAACAGGGGAAAAATAGTCTTGTAAATACTGAAACAGATTTCCATGAACTTTATCCTACTCTTGGAAAGAAAACAATTCTCCTTGGCTGCAGAAATCAAATAAGCTTGGGTTGCAATGACCAAGAACATAAATGAAGATTGATTGAAGTGGAAAAATTCTGTCTCCCAAGTGATCAGTGACATCTGCCAGAGGTCATTACAGCTATTTTTACTGTGAACAGTCACCAGCTAAACTACTCACTTGCCACAACCAAATAACCTCTCTCAAAGTAAATCCAGTACATCTGTATATATGTGTAGATAGCAGCAACAAACAATCCTGAAACATTACTTTTGGCTATTGAGTAAATCAAAGTGATGATAATTATAAAGAACATTCAAATAACCATGGATTTTGGTGAAATGACTTGTGGTGGCCAGAATGGTACAACAAGGTGTAATTTACAAGTTTTTTTTTTAAGACCCAAGTATCTCAGATACTTATAATGAGAATAAAGACTGTTGAATATGAAATT